TACTTCACCGTCCTGTTAAAAGGCTGCTTGGTCATTGCAATATTCTTGTGGCTTTCTTTTCTCTTCCCGTATTAAGCCCTCACCGTTCCATTCCAGGCTTGTTGTTTTGGTCCGGCATTATACTATATGCAAAAACTGCATGAAACTGCCTGTTATCTGACAGACTGACCTTACTGTTGAGACTGCCTGTTACCTATAAGAGAACGGTCGCTTTGATACTAAATTCTGCTTGTCATGGCCTAGCTATTAGCCATACTCATTACTTTTCGAATTTATATTCATACAGTGAAAAGAAAAATTGAAGTGAATCAACTCATGCCTTTTGTACTGATGGTCTCAAGTTCATCTACTCATGCCCTTTGTACTGGTGGTCTCAAGTTCTTTAATACGTCTTTTATTCAAAGCAACGCATAAAGAATCTTTGCATAGATTTTTTATGCAAACACCTTTCTTTACTCCTTACCTTTGCACGGGGAAAGATGAAAGAATACAAGTAGATCACAAGCAACTTAACAAACATAGTGTTGTGAATGTTTGAACAAGGTATATATCAAGTGTCGAAAAACAGTTCGTATTTGATTCCAGACACTAACCCCCTGATATTGTGCATCTAAGTCATTACGCTGTAAACTTTGATAGCTTGTTGACCGAAATCGTTGTCTATCGAAAACATGAATGTCCTATCACTGCTGCCATAAGTACTTACAATCCTTCCTTTTATTGCTGGTAGAGTAACTGAGAACCCAATTTTAACGTATCTTTCAAAGGAGGTAGTTGTCGTTTTTTATTAACATATTTTAACCTTCCCACTGTGCTTCCCTGTGTGGATGTCTTGATAGGGAAAGGCTGGTGTCTATGCTTTTCTAGAAACGTATTATAATTTACCTTCCTTAGATTTGTTTTATGGTGGTGTTTTATGTGGTTTCTCAATTCTGCGATAAAACTATGAATTTCTTATTTACAATCAAAGTACAATTGCTTTCAATATGTTTCTGAGCAAAGTAGTGTTTGATTCAATTTGTGGCCACCTATCGCTTTTTTAATCACCCAATATAAACAGAAAAGTAAATTCGTTGTACATAGCATATTTTTTAAGATATAGACAAGCGTACCTCAGTTTTTACTCATTGATAGAAAGTAGACAAACATGGATTTCATTGTCATTTATAACTTTTCTTCAGGGCGTTTATTATCTTTAACTGTATTCAGTTGAGGTTACATGTTTTACTGACTGCGTACCTACATTAAAGAATACCTGTCCAGAGATTCTGTGCTCTGTTCTCTTTCTTGACACACAGTTGACTGTTGGGCGAACAAACCAATATGAGACACCTAGACTACTCTCATGTAGACAGACACTTAAACGAACAAAATCTCCGCTTATCATTAACTAAGCACATCAAATGCACCTGCTTCTACCTGTGTCTATTTCAAATAGCGCTATTGCTTAAGTTTTCAAGTTGTTTGAATTGTAAGCTCCACAGATTTTCTGGATTTAGAATCAAAGCGAAATTCTTACCTAATATTTATAGTAAATGCAAGTTGAGGTGCTTTGGTGATGAAGATTTTGCTCAGTGTGGCTACAGCTTTCAAGTTTGGATGCCAGCGTATACCTTTCTTCGTAAATAGCGAACAAATTTCAATAATCCTATGAATTGAAAATTAGCTATTATTTAAAGCACGAGTATAGGTGAACTTAATGGTCTAATCGTGAATTTAAGACCAGATGTCGTTGCTAGGAAATGATTTCAGATTGAGCAAAATAATTTTAAGTTTACAAGGAAAAGATTTGCGTCGCGCTTTGTGTCTTTTAAGCTGTCGACTAAATTTTTTTTATCAAAACAAGGTTTTATTATTTTCTATTGCATACAGTTTCCGTTTCATTATTTCTAAGTTTTTTGCAAATATTAACTTAGCAGTTCACCACATAATTCTTTATGTGTTATTTTGTCAGACTTTTTAAAGCCTTCCCTTAGCGACAGCTGTGTGAGTCTGGCCTTCTTTCAGGCTTCAGCTTTAGTCGTAATCCAAATAACGCTTTAACACTTCACGTCAATTTGAACATCGGCAAAGGTCTTAATATAACTTAGAATTTGGTTTGAAAGAAAAATGTAATTTTCTCTTCTTTCTAAACAAATCGACTTCACCTTTGACGATTTTTTGTCGACCGTTCCCTGAAATTCCAGTTTTTTGAGACAGAAAGTTTTCAACCTATCATTGTTGTCTGTATATATACGTAAACATCGGAGCTGCGTGGACCAATTTAGCAAGAAAAGCCCCAAAATACCATTTGACCTTCCCTCGTCTTGTTTGCTTATGGACATAAAAAACAATAGTCGTAACAAATTGCCAAAGTTGTGGAGTAGGATCCTCAAGGAGGTTACAAAGGCCCCCTCCCCGGCTCAATCTAAATGCCGCTTTGTAACGTCTTCAGACTACATACACACTCGCACCCTTCAGAAAAGCTATATCAACGCATAGGTCATATAGTTTCAAGAGTTTCTGACAGGGACGGATGTAGAGGGTGCGACACCCCCCAATAGTTCTGTGTCCTTCGGTAAATTTTGTTTCATTCGGTAAAAATCACTTGTTGGTAGTCAATAGTTACAAAGTAACGCCAAGATTTTACTTTTCTTACTTTTATCAGTATCTATCCTCTTATCAGTAGCGTAGCGGGGGGGGGGGGATACTCTCAAATGTATTTTAAACTGATCTCAAAGACATGATCGCAAAAATTTTCTGCTCGCTTCGCTCGCAGAGGAGCCTCAATGTTCGGTAATTTCCCCTCGATTTTGGGTTTGTCTAGAAAAATATTCACATTCTTGAGACATTCATGATGAAATAAAAACTAAAAGGCTGAAGCAGTCCAATCTTTAAAAAAAACTGGACTCGGAAATGCTTGTTGTGGACTTTGTTGCTCCAAGGAAAATGGACTTGGTTTAAAACTTTTGAATACTGTTAATTTTTTTAGATATTTGGAAAATCACTTTTTACACGTAGAGATTCCTCGCCTTACACAATTCAGGATTTAAACGTTAGTGGAATTGTGAAGGAAATAGACATTCGTAGAATATGGTCAGCCACCTATGATGTTGAATAAAGGGAAATTGTCACGTAAAAATGCCATGGCTTTTTCAAATACATTTACAAAATGGGTGTTTTTCCAAATCCTTAAGGGTGTGATCAGCAAAAATATCTTCCTTTTTGGCCTACCAATCTTCCAAATCTGGCTACGCCACAGTTAAAAACCAAATCTCAAAAATGGGCGTTTCCATCAGTTACCAGTGACCTGAAGGGTGTGGCACCAAAATTAGTGTCTAACACCCCCCCCCCCATCATTGTTGCTTCAAACCGCCCCTGGTTTCTGGACTAAAAATTTCACAAGCTGGCAAGCTATGTTTATTTGTTATCCAATGTATTATAATCTGATATATCAAACAGACTTCGTAGGTGCAGCTATAATTCTGCGAATATACACGAAGATGATTATAACCTGAATATAACAGTATCATATCTAAAGTCATCATCCCAACGTAAATTATATATTTATATTATATAGATGTGTTCTACCTAAAACCGTCTGGTCCTTCCTTTTCCAGCTTAGATTTCATATTAAATAATGAAGACGAGAGGATTTACAATATTTAATATTCCTTCAAATGCTAGACTTTTAAATCTTTTTCAAACGAAGTTTACTTTCATTTTAGCTGCTGAATTCGCTTGTCAGGAATGCAAAGTTTGGAACTCGCTTTGTGATCCAATTTGTTGACTGTCCTTCCTGATCAATCTGTGATGAAGTGTTTGATAAATTTTTACGGTTTGTGGTTTAAATTTTTAATGCTCAAAAATCTAAATTCAAAAATTTAAATTTAAGTCATTGCTCAATTTTTCTAGATTTTGTAATTTAAATAGAAAGTGGGTTTTCGATACGATATTTGTTAAATCGAAGCAGTAAAAATTATATTTGAATTATTTGTGTAGACTAAGGTAACAAATTCATTGCATTTAGTACTGCTTTTGGCTGAGCATTTTCAAAACTTGGAACCATCATTTCAATCTTTTTTATACGAGTCCCTTTTAAATTTTGATGATTCTTAGTAGCTTTAGAGCATATTTTTGTCAGAAAAAGAGTTAATATCTAAAGTATGAAAATAGGTGGAAGACGTTAGTCCCAGATATTGGGTTTTTACAATGGATTCTTCCATTCTGCCCATAACTTAAAGTTCTATCCCGTATTCTGATGTTACTTTCCCCTGTAGTTACTTTGATTTGGCGAAAGGATGTTGATTTTCCTTCGAATATTACTTCACGGTTAGATCTGTCTTTCAAAGCCCTTAACTGGCCACTCAATGCTTAAAGAGAATCAACGGACACGAGTCCTGTAATTCAAAAATATTCTCAAATTCAATTCAGTCTGAATTAGAATCGAGCTGTATCCTAGAACATAATCCCACAGAATCTCTGGTAACAAACAACACGAGTATGGTTGGTTGTTTATTTATAGATGTGAAGTCTGCTAGTTTTTAGTTTGTTGAATTTCTTCAGCCAACAGCTATAGTACGAAAGATGTTTCCACATAATTTACCAACTGTGTTCAAATTGTCTTAGCTGAATGGACTGTAGCGTTTCACCATCTCTCTAATTGATTCATATTGCTAGCAATAAAGAAATTTTCTTAAGCAGAAAGCATCTTGATGTGACGATAACCAACAGAGAATGTTGTCGTGCTGTTATGCCTAGAGACGGTATAAGTCACAGCAACCACATATACCACTTGATTGTGAGAAAAGCTTGTTGACAGCTGAAAGTAGATTAGTTGTTTGATTTATTGTGTATCCACCCATTTCACGAAGATTTTAATTACCTGATTGAAAATAACGGCATATGGTCTCAAAATCCTTAGATCTAGCTGCTAAAAATACTTGAAGTAGAGCCATTGAATGCAACAATGGTGAAAAGCTTTTTAAGTGGCGAATTAATTTCTTTTAGGATCCCGCAAATGCTTTCTAATCCATCAACAGCTGTTACATTTTGTGCTACTTTTTTCGATATGTTATCGTCAGTCATCATTCTTGACTTTTTGTATTTAATGTTGTCTAGTTTATCCGTCAAAGAATTATTTTGAAGTCATTCACTTCTAATTAAACCTACGAATAATTGAGTCGTTAAAAGAAAATCGAAAATATCTGTGGTATAATTTTTTCGTGAATTCAAGATTTATGAGAATTTAATCAATCGACATAAACATATAAACATCAACAATGCAGTTATTTGAATAGAAATAACCAAATAATAGAAATTTCCAATTTGCGTATTAGCAGCTCCCGCCCTAAATGCGTTGTGATTATTCATATATGCTTCATTTGTTTTTATTAGTCTGTTTGGTAATTCAGAATGAGATGTCCTCAAGGATCAATTCTCGAGCCTTTTTTTGGAAAGTTGTGTGGTGCATTTTTGGGTGTAATAGTAATAATTCTTCTGCCAAAAAATTGAAAAGGTCGATCTTGCAAACAGCTAGTGATACTCTCAATGCTGGTTGACAATTTATGCTAGTGAAAGCCGTCTTCCTTCTGCCAGACACATGTTACTATCATTTTACTTTTGCACTCTATCCTTTAGTCTCAATGTTAGCACTTCATCCACCAAAAGCCGTTGATGTATGAAATTATGTGTTATTGTCTCAATAACAAAGAAATGCGCAATGCGTTTGATAAACAGGTTCTTGCACAAATTGTCATTCACCACCATGTGCCATTTAACGTAAAAACAAGTCCTTATATACGCAACGTAAAGAAATTTACGTGTACATTAACAAAACTAAAAATGTCTCATATACTCGTCACGTGCACTGGCATCGTAAAACCGGTTAACTGCTTAAAATTAAGGCTGTTTGAAAACAAACTACAAAACGTTAGGAGAACTTGAAAGAATTTTACTCCTCACTTGGCAGGTTTGCGTATAATCGAAGAAACCTGACCGGTGTTCCTGACATTGAAAGACGGTGAAACACGTTTCTGCGGGCACTGAAAAGCACGTGTTTACTTCCACGTGACAAATTCAAGAAGACCTAGAGGGACGTTTAGACCTGGCAATCAACAAAGACCAATAAGACACCGATTCGACTTTGATGCAAGTTGAAGAAGATGTTTCATCCAACCCCGTTACACTAACCTTTGGTTCAGGCTTTAAAAAATTTATTGCATATTAAAACAAGGAAAGCTCATTACTTAATGTAGAATTTGTGGTCAAATTATTGTCGTCAGTTTGCAGTCAACTTGATCACCATAAGGGCTTAATTCTGTTTAATTTTCGTAAAGGGTGACTGTCGTAGCTGTGCAATTAGCTTAGCTCCAATCTTTGACACAGTCGTTGAACCACATGTCGGGTAGCATGCATGTACAGCTGAATATCTTCCCACTCTCTCCGATCAAATCAAGTGTGATGTTAGCTTGTAGCAGATATACCATTGAACAGTAGGGGGATAACAATATTGTCAACGTCTGTCCGGGATTCTAGGCTAATAGTTGGTTCTTTTCCACTCAAGTTAAGTTTCGTTATGAACTTTAATAGTATCTAACTAAATTTCAAGAATCAGTTATGATGATTATTATAGCTTGCAAAGTTTTGCTAATATTTTATTTCAAACAGTTGTTGTCATGTTAAAATAGCTCACGCAATACCCATTAAATTAACCACCAACATATACAGATGCACAGGCATTCATTTTATAACGGTTTCTAATTGTCATTGCCAATGGGAGGAAATCTACTTCCGCCTGTTAATGGCGATAAAGGGGAACTCGTACAACTTCTGTCATAATCGCTGTCACCGAATTCGACTTCGACAAAGCTGCTACAACTGCTTTTAAAAGATGACATACTCATTCTGTTTACTTCATTGCCTCCATTCGAATTCTGAATCGAACAGTCAAAACATGAAAGTGAGAGAGCAGGCTTTCTGCATCCAAGCAGTCGTTTTTGTGCTACAAGCCCCGGTCCGGGAAGGGAGATTTTCTTTTTAAAGCCACGAGGTACCATTCTTGCAGGATGATCTTGCATTCCATAGAAAGACGCGTCCTCGGCACTCAATCTTGTTGAATAAGTAGGTGTAAAGTTTCTTGTATGGTTACTGCTGCAATCCGAGTACTTGCGAACAGGGCTTTTTGACTTTAGGAAATCGCTAGATTGGGGTTGAGTTGCTTGAAAACTTTGTCTCTCGCGATGACTTGGTATATCAAGGTGCAATGAATTGAACTGGCGCTCGTCTAAACTACGAGAAAACTTCGCTTGGGCACTTAGGTTGTTCAGCAATTGGTTATCGTTAACGTCGAGACCTTGATGGCTGTTTGTTGATGTCCGAGGAGTCTTTTCTCGTTTAGATATCGGAATTTTATTGAAGTCGGATTCTTCATCAGTGATCTTTACAATGACGTCATTACCAACCCTTTCGAAAACCTCGTCTTCATCATCTTCTTCATCCGGACTGTGCTGCAAGTTTTCGTAGTAATTCGAAAGTTTGCTCTTTTGGGTGTACCTATTGTAGAGAACCTGATCTTCCAGATATCTGTTTAGCAAAGCTTTTTTGAAACTCCTTTCCTCGGCTTGCTCTGATCTTGAGTCGTTTGTTTCCATTTGCACCCAAAAGAGATGTACATCCAGAACCATTTAAAGAAAAAGTTAGGCAGCAATCTGTTAATGATATGTACGTTAACTTTTTGCTTTCAAAATGTTGAAATGAAGAAAACCTACGATTCTTGGTGCATGTTGAGAAAAAATCGTTCAAGAGAAGCGCTGAACAGCAGGTAGACTTTTCAAGCATCCACGTATTTCTTTCTTCTCTGAGCGGTAATGAGAGTCTCGCTGTTAATGTTAGAGAAAACAGCCGATGGTTACACAGCACTGCGAGAAAAGAACGTGAGGTGTGAATTCAGATGGTACATTTCCAGGTTGTTTTTGAAACAAGCATTATCTAAGCCGTTATTTGAAGAGAGAAATGGTAATTTAGCCATGTTGTATAAATAAGTCATTGAGAAATGCAACATAGAAGCAAAATTTGTCAATAATTTCTGTTGGTTTTAATCACTGAATCTTGTAACGACATTTTGCATGAAACCGGCAATATTAAAAAAAATCCACAAATAATTTTTTCGATGTTTACCTGGAATAGCAAAGCAGAAGATGTCACCAATTACCAATCGACGAATTGTCTCTTCCCCTTCAGTACCACATTATACTTTAGCACTGCTAACATTCAACTTCTTTTGACTTTTGAGAGTATGGGACTTGTCAAGGCAGGTTGCTTTTAAATCCCAGCGTCTTCCTCAACTTTTCTGTATGACGTTGATGATATAGCGACGTCTTTACGAGGCGTTCTCTAAGCCATCCACAAACAAAACAGAGAGGCCAACATATTTGCATTTACATAATTAGGATAGAATTTTGGTAGATGTTTCGTCCTTTTTGGTGCTAAATTGGCTTGCTTTAAGCAAATAGTAGACACAATGTTTACAGTATTTTGCAAAACGACACGATTTCCAGCGCAGACATTTGAATATGGTCATGAAGATAGTAACCTTTGTAATGTCCTCGTAATTCTGTTGCGGCAAAAGCTTTGAAAAATTAATAACTCCAGCTAATCGTTCAATCAAAGAGATTATACTTTGCTATAAAAATTGTTTGATGTTGTTTTTGATTTGATTTCAGTTGCTCATTAACAATGGCACTTTGCAATGCATTACGTTTTGCTTCCAGGCGTCCATACAATCCTTATACCAGCTAGATCTCATAGCTGGCCGTCCAGTTCCCATGCTATTGCGATTACAAAGAGTGAAATTTCCACGCGGCCGTCGCTCATTGTATGACGATCTATGCACAACGGTATACTCATCAACGAATTAAATCATACTAATTCATAGATTCACTGTGTACAAATTTGTCACAAAGAGTCCTGTCATTTATGTAACCGGTCTCATGTGGCGGCAAACATTTGCACGAAATAGACGTGTTGCTTTTTCATCAAATGTACGTATTTCATGCGACGGTTCATTCTGTTTATTAGATTTGCAAGCTAAGTTCAATGTTACAAGCATGTGTGCGGGGTCGTTCACCTATTACGTGATTGACCTTTTCACGGTTTTGACTGAACAAACCCCCTGTGATTACATTGTCATTTATTGGCCCCCATCTTTTCCGAAAAGGTTTACTCTCTCTCAATAGGACTATAAAAAACGCATTTCAGTTTTGCTGTGAGCCCACGATAGGTAAAACTACGCTATAGGAACTACACACAATATTTACGTACTTATTATACTGGTATTCCACGCATTTCTATCTAAGACTGTAATACATTAACGTCTGAGAGTGTAAGAAACAAACATGTCAAATTTATATGTCTTTTGTCTTGAAGGAATTAAACGAAAAGTTGTGAGATGTTTAACATGCTCGGTAATGCCAAAAATTTTGCCTACCATATCGAAAATATTTCCATCAACATTTATTGATTCTGGAATACTGACTGGTTTTCCACCAGATCACTGCTCCGAGATACTTCTTGAGACGAACACCTGCCTTCTTCGTCAATCTCACTGACAATATTTCCTTTTATATGTTGCATTTTGTTTGCTTTGCATACACTTTTGTGATGTTCCAGGACAGTTAAGGGATATGCATCTTTCGCATATTTTCTTAGCGTCAATAGGTAGCAGTGATCTTAGGAATGTTCAGCTTCAGTGATGACATGATAAACAAGGAGTGGAACAGAAATCTGAAAGTAGCTTTTCCAAGTCAATTTTCGAGTTTGTTTTCAGATGTACGCCTATAGGTTTTGAAGGAAGGAATCGGTAGGGAAAAACTGTGAATAAGATATTGGAGAATAGACAACAGGAGAAATCAGAGCTTTTCACAATTTGAAACTTAAACTCTGACTGGCAGATATAAACAACTTGCCCTCTTCAGATTGTAGTGTAGTGACGTATGTATCACAGAAGTGTGTCTAGGATCGTCACGTGACGAGCATCGCAGGCTGGAAATTAAAATGGCTACTAGGTAGGCTCGTTTATAAATCATTGTCCCTTTGTTCGCTTGAATGACAAAATGGTCAAATATATTGTAAGTGCCATTTATAGAGATGACTCGATGACTTTGTGTTCTTTCCCCATATGAAGTAGCTGTTGCCTAGCCTTAATGTTTTAATTGCTTATAACTCCTGACTGGTTCTTAAAATTTGCTGTTGGTGTTGGGGATTTGCTTATAAAATTCCTCGAACCATCCGGTAGTAATTTGCGATATTTTTCCGCTTGTAATGTTTATCTTTAAACCAAGCCCCTTGGCCAGTTACAAGTTGCGTAATCATTAAACAAATGTTGCTAATGCTGTACAATCATCTGCTTATTTACGCGGAGGCATCATAAGGCCTACA